GTTGGGGCCCCTTTCTAGTGCGAAGTTTTGTCGCCCGTGATTCTTAGTGGTCAGTGAGGTAGGGTGCTAGTTTTCCGAAACATGCATAGGTCCTAGATTGTGTCAGCTGGCCTTACACCGGACCCTAATTCAGTGTTTGCTTTGTACAGCTTCGCGATCCTCAACAAGCATCCAAAATCACTTAAGAGGTAGTCTCTTGTAATTACGGCTACGGTGAGCGTATATGCTTGGACTCCAAAAGTAGGTAAAATGATAGTCCAACACCCCTGAAAATAGCCCAACAGGCCATTATTCTACATACGTTTGGCATTCAGGTAGCCTTGATTTGGAAAAATGTGCAAGGGCTTAGGCTGCTCATTTTTGGTGACCACGCTGGGACCAGAAAGAAAGATTTGTGGAGATTTGAGTTTGTTAAACCTGCTTACAGGCAAACATTTCTGCGGAGATGTTAGGTAGCTCAGCGAGCTGCCAGGGCCTAGACAACACCCAGGTTTTGGGGGCTTTCAGAAGGTTTTAAGGATAATGGAAAAGAAAATGGAAACTCCTATACTATAATAGGGTATATTTTGGGATTATATAGGGATAATGGAAAAGAACATGGAAGCTACTATTTAGTGTTTAGGCTTTTTGGTGTCTTTCAATAATTTGTTTTTGCTTGCCAGGGGCCTTCCGGGAGCCAAAAGCCCTCAGCCTTCAAGGATCCATCTTGTATTAAAGTTGAATATTACCGGAAGCTTCAATCTTGGTGCTATGGATTTTGCCAAAAGGCCGATTCCCCACAAAAGCTTCCTTCACAGGATTGCTCGGATGAGTTCGATGCCGGCTTGTGCAGCTACGATACTCCCGATGGCACTAATGGCCCGGAGAATTGTTATCAGTGCCCGAACTCCACCATTCCGGCTACAAGCCCAGCGCCATGTTCGCAAGTTGTCTTAGGCAGTTTCGGGCGTTGAGTGCCCCTGAGGAAAGTCAAGCGACGCCTCCAAACCTTATTGTGTAAACCCCTTACAGGGTCTGTCAACTTCCCTTTTGCGCCGCTTCTTTCCTGAAAGTGCACTCAAGGAACATCAGTTTCAGGTAGATGGTTTCGGCCGTGCCCTTTGCAAGCTCCATGTCCATGAATTTTCTGTGCCTAAACCCTAAGTATCCTTGAGCCCTCTCTACCTGTAAGGTCTTTGAACCCCAAGCCCTGCTGAAGCTAAGGATGGCCTCAGCACGGGGGAGCTCGTTTGCCAAGGCGGGAGTTCATCGAAATGCACCGTTGAGTGCTTAGAAGTAGGCGCACTTTGATTAATTCCAAGAATTATCACATGACTTATAGTGTGCTGATTCTGATTAATTATTGGGATTTAGACTTTATTGAAATCTGTCCGTTTGATGTTTAGTGATGGGAGGATTTTGGTTACCAAACCTCCAACACCGGGACCCTCAGACTATTTCATGAACGTCCCTTTTAATTGTAGCCTAGCAGCATGAGCCTAGCCAGGAGAGCAAGAGTAAAAAGGCAGTACGCGTATTAGGGCGTTCATCGGCATAATTGGGGGTGCTGAGATCCCCGCAATCCTCGAAAAATCTAAATCCGTCCGTGTGCTGTGGGGAAGCTTCGACAGTCTTGCTTCCGGGATTGGCAAAGTGGGCCGGCAACGGTGCCGATGATGCTCGAGTTGGGGGGTGGGCCGCCCAGTACGGCAGCATCATCAGCACAATTGGAGGTCAAGTTAGCTCCCCGGGCATAGTCTTTGTCACTTGCACACTTGCAGGAACGATGAAGCTGTTGAAGTCGCTTAAGAGGCCTTCAGCTTCTGCCAGACCGCCTGCCGCCTTCGAAGTGGCGGAAACCACACATTCATTGGCACCACCATCATAAAGCTCACATGAAATTATGAACAGCTCCACACACCCATCCTGGAAGCATCATCAAACAATCACGTGCGCTAGACTTGACAACCATCACTCAGACTCAAGCCCCATCATACCCCTGCATAAAACATGCAAAACACACCTGAGAGCCAAGAAGCCGATCGCAAGCCCATCATCAAACTTGCGAAGAACCATGATAGCCTCCGTGAGACGCCCACGGGCTCCTGGCCGTGGACCACGGCGGCAGGGCTGGATTTCACGATAAGCAGAGCGCGTTGGCTTTGCCACCTTCATTACGGGCAGGAGCAAGCAACAGTAAGAGTAGAAGGAGTGGGAAGTATCTGTCTAGAACTGGTACGAGTAGGCGCCCGGCGGGGAAATCCCGCCCCCGTAACGTGATGCGTGCGTGATTGATACCGAGAAGCTGCTGGTAGCCGCAGAGGATTTGAAAACCGGTAAGATTTTGTGACCACTCGTCGTGGCACACGGCAACCCTGTCCAAAAACGATGGGTCACACGATTTTATGGAAAGATTTCTTCAGCTAATATGGAGGCGTAGTAGAGCTCAGCATTCAAGCCACTTGTCAGCTGGAACGGACCAATCATGTTCAACCACATAAGCCTTTTTTCCCAACTCGCGTCCACGATTAAACTCCGCTCAAGCGCTAACGCCACAGAGAACTTGTTGCCACAAAACAAAAGCACTCCTGAAGCATCATCAGGATTCTATTATAACTGTCACCATTATGATGCTGCTATTGCACTCATCATCATGCGGTTATTTTCGCTTTATTGCTGGTACTCTGCTCAACATCAGTCTGAATAGTTATGATTCCGTTATTGTCGTATTACATTGGTTGCAGGTGCTCAGCGAAGAAAAAGTACCATACCTTTTTTTAATTTCTGTTTCTCGAGGGCAGGTTTGTTGGGGTTTGGGAGGTGGTTCTTGGGTTCAGCGTGCGTGATTGAATCTACATGTGCTTTCGAAGGTTCCCGCTTGCACGCGGAGGGATTTCTCGGTCTTAGGGCAGGGGTCCTCCCAAGGCCAGTCATGGGCCTGAGCCAAGAAAAGCTTCCATGCAAACAGAGGTAAGAGGGTGCGGGGCAGCCTGAAAATGGAGAAACGGACCCCCGGCTGATGCTGATGATGTTGGCCACGGGGTTTTGCCTTTTCTTACTTCCAGATAACATGCATCCTGCCGCTTTTATTCTTGCTGTCGCTGCTTCTTGCTGCTAACTGCAAAGGCGGAAGGGCTAGTGGCCTAAAAAATCCTCCTATCCCTCAGGGTTGGCCTGTAACCCCCTTATGATCTCTGTATATCCCTACTCGGGCAACCGTCCTTCCAGCCTCAACCCTAAACTCTGAACTCAGACTTGAAACCCTTAACAGCAATCGCCCGCTTGAGAATCCATACAGGTCAACCCCAGGGTGTCACAAACGGGACCGGGTTGCTTGGGCGGCAAGTGGCGCTTTAGCGTTTAAGGCGTTGCGCTGAGTTTTGGCGTTGGGGTCTAGAGTATGCAGTTCAGGGTTTACGCCGTAGAGTTCAGGGTATTGGAGTTCAAGGTCTGTGGTACTTGGTTTGAAGTTCCCGCCGCCTGGTTCCTTTGCCGCAGAGATGACGAACGCCTGCAGAGTTCATAAGGATAACAAGAATGTCCAGTGCTTTGCTAGGAGTGATCCAAATGACCCATCAGATTCAGCTTAATCATAAATCCAGCCGAGGGACACGTGCTTCGGTCCGGGACACTACACCTTTAATGATCCCTCGGCCTCTTGGTGGCAGGAAGATGAAGAGGAGTCTGTAGCATTACCACCCGCACAGATCTCAACTTTGTGATCCTTGCGGGGGCATGTTAGATGAAAGATGCCTTAGGAGAGTGCGTTGGATTTAAAACGCGCACGAGTCAGATGAAAGAGAAGGCACAACCCAAGTCGAGACAGGTGGATGTGCTACCTTTGAAGCCGAACTTTGCTAATGCTTCTGACCCATGACGAAAAATAACTCACAATCGCCACAGAAAGACGTTGGTATTGATTTAAGCCCCTATAGTAGGCTTGGTCGCTTATTTCTCATTGTTGTTTGGTCCAATAGACGCTTGCCTTACATCCGACTCGTTTTATCCCTTCGACCAGCGTAGGGCTTTGGTTTTAGGGTTTAGAGTTTAGGGCTTAACATTTGTGTTTAGGAAGGAACTCTATGACTCCCGCCTTTCATCGGACTGGCGCCTTTTCTACAGCTGATTTACACGTTCCCTTTGTTTCGTTCACACTTCTCTTACTGAAATTCATTCGTCTGAGTTGTGCCGCAACTGGATGATTTTCGTTTTTCAGATTCTTCTTTTGCTGATGCATCCAATCCGTTCTCTGTGCCCTATACCCTTTAGAGCCCAACACTGCTTAAGCCTCAACTGTTCCGGGAAGTCCTGCAAAACATGTTTGTTTCACGCTAGAAAGTTCGCAGTCCCCGCAAAATTGGCGATGGTTTGGAATTTGGAATATGTGTGTTTTTTTGTTTTCTCTCACTGCAGCTCTCTTATAAAGGCTGTGTTTACCGTAGGAAGTGTCGGTGATCAGTTCTGCAGCGGTGTAGGGAAGCTTGAACCCTTATAGGCTGCCATCATTTCTAAGTCACAAACACAAAGCCCCAGACTGCAGACGACTCTACAGACATCTGCGCTGCAAAGCTCGAACCCACGTGACCGCCGTACACACCAGAACCACTGACACCACTGAGGACATCTTGTACTGCTTGGACAAGCAGAGTTGCCTATCCGACTTCAAGGTTTCTGGAATGGGATCTATGTGCTGTTCGAGCGGCAGGACTCATGTGTTTTGGGTGTAGGGTTTAGGGTCTAGGTTTAGGGCTCAAGCACTTGTGCATTCTATCGGTGCGTGGCGAAATTAGGCGTCCCATTTCGGCATGGCAATTTCGAAGACGAGGGGCCGTACGACATTGTAAGAGGGTTGTTGGTTTTGAGAGTAAGCGTGGCCTGCATTAGCCGACACTTTGCACAAGGATCTCCCTAGAACAAAGGGGTCGAACCGGGACTAGGACTAGGATGGGCCTTGTCGAAGTGCTGTATCTTCAGTCTTGCTTTGTCTTGCTTATGGAGTGGGTGGTTGGCTGCCCATGGAGGATGGATGAATCAGGAACCTGTGCGGGATCGGGCTCCAGCTTCACGCTCGCCACTCAACCCGATCATGATGGCCGAAGGTGCAACGCAGG